CACAGACAACCTCTCGTCAATATGCGTTTTTCGCATTGCATTGCTGCAAAAAACGCATAACAAGACCTTTATGTTCCACCACTTCGTGGACATACGTAAGTGCATCCTTGATAACAACGCTAAGGCGCGAATCACAATTCAGAGCAAACCACTTTTTCGCAATTTGTGAGACCTGTTCATCCAATTCTACAGCTATAACGGAGGCCTGAAAGGGAATTCCAGACAGAATTGATGGTGCGCTACTCTTCGAACTGACTGGTTTACTACAGAGTGATTTCCCAAACGGTCTGATGTAAGGATCAGAGCTGCAATAAAAAACTGTACCTGTGGGAAGTTACGATGAAGAAATGAAGGTAGCAGACCGCCACCCAATCCGAGCACGAGCAGCCTGAAATAACAGTACTTTTCGGCTTCTGAAAAATAAATACTGCCAAACACATGCCGAGCTTAAAAAACTAAATAAAATACCGTGCTTCCATTGACCGAGTCAAGATTTCACCGGGAGGAAGTGTGAAAGGCAGTGCAGCAAGCATCGCTTCATGATACTGCGATGTCAACGTGTCCAAGTCAACAATCTTGCGGCCCTTTTTATTTTCTGGAAAATTTCACGCTCAATTCAAATTTAATCGGGAACAGGAAAACATTGTTCTTAGAATTTCAGCTTCCCAGCTTTCTCCTGTTCTGAGTTGAAACTGAACGACAAATTTCACGCACTCATATTTATGTCTTAGACTGGTTAGCAATAAATGCCAATTTTTGCGCAGGACAAACCAAATTAAATTTCAATAAAGGGACCGAAAATAACTAGAACTACACCACTTCATAATGCCAAAGAAGTGTTCGGACTAAACAAGCATTCAATTCGCTCTATTTCCTTTTCGTTTAAAAGTATGCTCGAACGTACTGATTATCCTCGCTTCCGACTGTATAACACCCGGCGAAGATAAAAAGATGAGCCTTCGGTACAGTGAATCCCCACTGCGGACATCTTCTACAACCCAATGTCCATTGACAGTTGAACGGCCACATGCACGAGTCTTCCTGGCGTCAACTTCACCAAGAGAAAGATACTCGACTGACGGCTCCTGCTGCAGTAGAACACCGCGTACATGATGATGATGATGATGATGATGATGATGATGATACAGGTGATTTTATGACAAAATAAACTGAACGAAAAACATACGCTCCGAGATAAACCGGAAAGGGTGGTTAGCAATTTGCATACAAAACATAACTGATTTGCATACGCATAACTGGATTTTCTACCTTACCTTTAAATTTCTTTTCTAAAAATAAATGAGAATTTTTTTTCAAAAATACCAACTTACTGATTTTTTTAAATTTGCCGGGGTAAGCTTCTTAACGTAGGGACGCAGCTCGTCCTGGACCTGCATCATATTTTCATATGTCTGATCACGAAACAGAGAGACCAGGGCCAGCCGACTCTTGTCACACTGTTTCCGCAGTGCAATATGTCCTGCACGAGTGGAAAAAATCCAGTCGTTATCTCTGAAAGATTAGAATTCAAATGATTTATTTAAAGTAAAAGTTAAACTCAAGAAGTGCTGTACTATTAAGTTCCAGACTATTATGAATAATTGTTGCGAAGCATTCATTACAAGCCGATCGTGACTGTAATTTTGCGTTTCTGCTTTGCGGACTGCACTTGGCAGATTTCAAAAAATAATTTCGTACGCCAAGACGAGAAATAACAGCAAAAAGCGTGAAATGTGATGAATGTGTGTGGACAGTAAATGTGGTAAAATGAAACCTGCCAATTGGAACGATGAAGACAGCAAAAGAAACGAGCTGATGAATTTCAGCATCGTCTATCACCGTTATGCGATAACGCGGTCGGCCATCTTTACCGGACAATGTTATAGTGGCCTCTTCGCTCAATTTCCTGCAGAAGCTTTTGAAAATTTTAGAAAAATGAATAAAGCACTAGGTTTTCTTCACAGTTAAATTGTACGATGATTAAATTCGCGAAATTATGCACAAAAGTTGGTTACTTCGAACAAAGATGACAAAATCTGGAGAACTCTTGCTCGGCAACCACAGCGCTTATCACATCCTCTTTATCCATTAATTTGACTGCAGCACTACCTGGCCAAAATAGCAATTCCATGTACTGAAAGTGGGCAAAATAAGGCAATATCAAACAGTGGTATAGTCAGAACCATTAATCAAATCGAAGAAACACGGTTCACTCCATACGACAATCGATAAACTTCGCGCTCGTGCAAACGCATACTTCACTGCGGCAGACGCCTCATGAGCACTATCCGTACTGCTCAAAAATCACAACAGTAAATAAAGAATTGGAGAGCGCATCGATTGCCGGTGCGAAGATGTGTTTTTTGCAAGTTCCCCTGCAAGTTTCCGTTGCTAAGGACACTTTTTTCGGCAGATGCTCCTAGCTAAAAGAATTGAGACTGGCCGCCACGAATGTCAGAAATTACTACAGTGACTTCCAACCCGTGCTCTAGGTGCTTCGATCGCGGAGTTACATCAAATTTCACACGTTCGTACGTAAGAGAGGCGTGAATGTTGACCTATGTTCATTAATACATCTTCTGAAGGGATTACCAGCCCATACAGTTCTCCAGAGAGAAGTAACTGGCAAAACATTGATCAATTCGAGATGCCCATGATGTGTTAAGCATCACAACATAGGCGGATCCGAAGGAGGTGGGGGACGACGGGTCTTTCGCCTCCCCCCAGTGGCACAGGTAACAGCGCTAAAACTGTAGAAATCTTTCTTCGAGACCAACGGTCCTCGCCCCTCCCCTCCAGAAGCCTCACTGCTAAGCCACACTTGGAAAATTTCAACACTCTGAAGAATTGGGATTGGCCACTGCTCTGGCTGCGGAGTTACGCAAAATCCTACGTGTTCGTAAGTGATGAGAAACGCGGATGCCGATTCTACGTGTGAAAAATTTCAGCGCTCCTGGTGGTCTGGTTGCGGAGTTATGTCAAACTCTATGTGTTTACACGTGAGAAAAAAAGTGAAAGCTCCTGTTGTGCGCTACTGCCCCAACACCTTTATGAGCCATTCTCAGGAAATTTCAGCGTCTAGCTGCTTCGGTTGCGGAGTTACAAAACTATCTACGTGAAGTTTCCGTGTGCCCATACATTAGATGCAGAGAAGCTGGAAAGCTCAATTTACTTTCACGGACACATCAGTTGGTGACAATCAAGAACGCAAAATTACAGTTCTCCAAAACTTCTTGACCAGCTTAGATCTCGAGTTGACACCGTGCCAATTTGAACTTTGACGCGTACGTATATGAGACCTGGGGGTAAGTGAAGGCTGAATTCAAAATCTTCGGGGTAGACTTGCCCGAGAAACATCTTTGAGAAATTTTAGCCCTCAAGCTTGCGCGTCCCCAAATCGCTCTCCCGCCGAAAAATTTTCACTGTCCCTCGATTAAACGACCACGTCCAAGTAGTTCTCACGTGCTCGTGCGCGAGGAATATTTAGACGTGAGCGTTAGTCGAATGAAAGAGGCCTGCCATACGTGTAGATTAAGCTACCAAAGTTTCAGCCTTGTAGCTTTTGCAGGTTCCGAGATGAAAACTCGATGCAGACGCATACGCACAGACATACACCTACACACAAACAATCCCTCGGCAATATTCGTTTTTGCATTGTATAGATGCAAAGAAAAAAAAAAAAAAAAAAACGCAAAAAAAGCGAAATTACCGGAAATGGGATAGGCAAGCGAAGTTTGGTGGCAATAAGCAGAAATGCTGGCACAGCGAAGCTCCAACTAACATCGCTTATTTTTTCTATTCGAATCATGAAATTCACGCTGCAACACTCCCAAGTAATCCAGCGCAAAAGTGATAAATGCAAATGGCAGCAAGAGAAGACAGCGACGCATCCCATTAATTAGCACTCAACGCTTCCACATGGATGAATTGCCCGACACGAATCAAATTAGGTTCAATAGCCTGTAATGCTCCTTAGTAAAAGCATTCGCTTGAGCTTGGCCCCCATCTGTAACTGCTGCGAAGATACCACGACCTTTGGGCTCTGATTTAAGAAGTAATGTCGGTTCAGTGTTCAAGTGAAGTTAAAATCACTGTATCGCTAGGAAGCGGCACGGACAAAAGAGAAGCAAGCCAAAAACTTTGAACTAGCTGTGCACAGTACATCGAAAGAGCGCAGCACTCCATTTACTGCACCTAAATTTTAAATAACTAAGAGCTGATCATGCATCAAGGCCCGCTACAGCAGTATTTCAATAGCACCGAAAGACCAAAATAAATAACAGCGCGCACCAGAATAGCCGATGCGATCATAAGGGTGAATATCCTAAAATTTCAATCTCCTAATTTTCTGGCTTTCGAATGATCCTTGAGACAGAACTCTCACGTGGTCGTACATGAGACCACGGCATACTTAGGAACTGAATTCTAGTTTGCGAAGCCTCAGCGTGGGCAGGACACATTCTAAAGCTAAAGTTTCAACTTCCCAGATTCCATGGTTCCTGAGATAATAATTCACCTGTCAAAATTTTTGCGAGGCCATAGGTGGTACCCAAGAGCCCGCGGACGCTGAATTTGAATCTGCAAGGTCGTACGTCAGCAAGGGGTCATTACCCTAAAATTTCAGCCTCCTAGATTTCGTAGTTTCCTCCTAGATTCCGTAGTCTCCTAGATTCCGTAAAATTTCAGCCTCCTAGATATCCGTCAAAATTTTCATGGGGCCGTACATGTTACTTGCGGGCAGGGGAAGGCTGAATTTAAATTTCCTGGGTAGCACGTAGGCAGGGGTCATGCCCACAAGATTTCAGTCTTCTAGCTTCCGTGGTCCCATGATAATAATTTTACCCACCCAAACTTTTACAGGGTCGTACGTGCTACCCGTGGATACAGGAAGGCCGGATTTATATTTGCGCGTTCATACATGGGTGGGGAATGTTCCCCTAAATTTTCAGCTTTCCAGCTTTTGTGGTTCCTGAGTTGAAAATTGCGGGCAAGCTGCTGCTGACACACATACACACAGACAACCCCGTGCCAACATGCATTTTGTACTGCTGTTACACAGCGCAGAACGCAATATTTATTATCCTGATGTTGAAACGCAAACACCTGAGGAATCATGAAAATAACGACGAATGAACCTTATCTTATCTATGGTCTGCGAACTGTAATACATACTTTTTCAAAAAGTACGAGAGAAACACACGGAGTACGTGTTCCTGTGCCAGGCTCACAACAATGTACCGACCACCAAAAGTGAGCACGCGACATACTTCGGCGAACATTTTCTGCACTTCCTCCGCCGCACCCTCTTTTTCAGAAGGCAATAAAGCATCGAGCGTTCCCTTGTCCAGAACAACATTATAACTGTCTTCTGGCGAACGTAACTGAATAGAGAAAGAACAATTACAAGCAAAAAGAATAATAAATAGCCGTGCGCACCAGGGCAGCCGGTGCGATCATGCGTTTTGTGCAATTCTGTCCACCGAACAACTGCCTCCTAATGATTTTCATTGCTTTGCACTTTGGTCTGAGCAAAAATAGTTGAAATGTTGCCTGCTTCCTAAGTTGTGAAATTTCCGATTAAATATTTCACGCATATGAGATAAGAATTACTCTGTCAAAACTTTCACCAGGCCTTACATGGTACCCAGGGATGCGTGAAGACTGAATCCAAATTTGCGAGGTCGTACGTTGGTAGAGGAGATCACTCTAAAATTTCAAATTCCCAAATTCGGTGGTCCCCGAGATAATAATTTCTCCCTCCGAAACTTTCACGAGGCCGTAAGGACGTGCGAGAAGATTGAATTTAAAATTGCAAGATTGTATGTGGACAGAACTGCGGTGAAATTTCAGCTTCCTGGCTTTTATGGTTCCCGAAATAATAATTTCCTGCCAAAATTTTCAAAGGGCTGTAGGTGATACCTGAGAGTGTGGGGATGCTGAATTTGAATTTCCGAGGTCGTATGTGGGCAGGGGGTCATTACTTTAAAATTTCAGCTTCCTAGCTTCCATGGTTACCGAGATAATAATTTAGCCGCTAAAATTTTCATGGGGCCGTAAGTGACACCCGAGAGCGCGGGAACGCTAAATTTGAATATACAAGGTCGAGCATGGGCAGAAGTTCATTACACTAAAATTTCAGCTTCGTAGATTCCATGGTTTCCGAGATACTAATTTACCCGCCAAAATTTTCACGAGTTCGTTCGTGTTACCCGTGGGCGGGAGAAAGCTGGATTTAAATTTTCTGGGTCACATGTGAGCAGGGGACAGGGTCACAAAATTTCAGCCCTCTAGCTCCCGTGGTTCCCGTGATAATAATTTTAACCGCTCAAACTTTTACAGGGCCATACGTGTTACCCGCGGGTACCAGAAGGCTGAATTTAAATTTGCGGAGTCACATTTGGGTGGGGAATGTTCCCCTAAATTTTCAGCTTCCTAGCTTTTGTGGCCCTCGAATTGAAAATTGCGAAGCAGTTGCTGCGATACACACAGACAACTCCGTGACAATATGCATTTTGTACTGCTGTTACACAGCACAAAACGCCTAAGAATGAAGAGACCCAGTGTAACAAATAATCAGATGTTGCCACCGTTCATTCTGTTTTATGCTTATTTATTTTTTGTCAGAATAAAACAAAAAAATGACAAAACAAATAATTTCAAAGCCCTCTTTACACTGCTACTCTTTGTACGAGACTAATGAAACCCTCTCCGTATTAACTCTTCATGAGAGACGAAAACACTCGGGAGTGCTCGAAGTGCAGTAGGCGAGAACAGCAATCATCCCTGGAAAGGCTATCAGCGGTTCCTTTTTTCGAGGGTTACTTAGGCTTACCACACATTTTGCTCTCTAGCAAATGCCTCAGTACCAATTTAGCAGTGAAAAGAAAGTTGATTCATAAAGGGACTGCTTGTTCCAACGGCACAATCAAACATAGTACATTTTTTCTTATAACAGTAGCGTGAAATTTTTGAAAAAGCTTTCAAAAACCGGGTCATAGCTAAAATATTATGCAGCTTTTTGATTTTTTTAGAAAACGTACAACTTTTAAGCGACGATTTTGATCTTTTTTGCATGAAAGTAGCGACATTTCCACTGCGTCACATCCACGAGCCTACACTACTGGACTGTAAGGAAGCTGTGGAGAGGATTCTTAACGCTCTCTTCTTTAGTGGATGACAAAAATGCTTTGGAATTCCATGCATGTCATTGCCCAATGGTCACCAAAATGAGTGTCCGAGGATTTCGGATTGTTTCGCCTCATGAAGCAGCTCGAGGTAACTTAAGCCCGCAGTATTTCATCAAAACTTACGTCGAGTGCGGAGCAGCACGAAAACTGTAATTCCGGCCTTAAAGTTTTGTTCCTGGCTATCTGCTTATCAATAACACCTTGATCAATATCAATGCTCGAAACTGCTCGGTATCCATTATCATAAAGCTGCAAATTTTTTTGTGTTTTATTGCAACTGCATTTGCAAAACACTTGGGCACATCATAACAAAAACGCACCTGTGCGGCCAGTTCCGAGTTGCCGCATCCAATTTGCAAGATTTTATCAGTGCTTTTCAAATACTTGATAAGGATCGATCCAAAAGTGTTGAAATCCCCATACCTGAACAAAAAATATCTTTGCTTTATATAAATGCTACTGGATGTGAGCTGTCGTGCCCGATAAGCGACCCCTTTTTATGCGTTTTGTGCTGTGTAACAGCGTTACAAAACGCATATTGTCATGGGGTTGTCTGTGTGTGTGTCCCACATTTTGTCCCGCACTTTCAGCTCGGGAACCACAAAAGCTAGACGGCTGAAATTTTGGTATTGTGTTCCCCGCCAACGGGTGACGCGGCAAATTTAAATTCACCTTTCCCTTACCCACGGGTAACCCGTACGGTCCCGTGAAAGTTTTTCACGGGTAAGTTAATATCTCGGGAACCACGGAGTCTAAGAGGCTGAAATTTTAAGGTAATGACCCCCTGCCCACGCTCAACCTTGCCCATTCAAATCCAGCCTTCCCATACCCGCGAGTAACACGTACGGCCCCGTGGAAATTTCGGCGGGTAAACTATTAACTCGGAAGTCATGGAAAGATATTCACCTTTCAAGGTTTCGAATTCAGCTTTCATGCGCTGGTGCGTGAAATTTCTAACTATTTTCCAGTGTTTGAACTATTTTTGCATAGACTAAAATACAAAGCAGTGAAAATCATTAATAGGCAATCGTTCGATGGGCTGAACTGCACAATACGCATGATCGCACCAGCTATTCGGGTGCGCGTTGCTATTTATTCTCTATGCTCGGGCAACATCAGCTGGCGAATCGCTTATCGTACAGGGCTGACGCTGCACTCCAACACCTGCATATCTCACTCGTTCCAATCCTGTCACTGGACAAGGTGCAGTTTGCAAGCCGATGAATGGGTCCCTCAATGTAGCAGGCCTGTCAAAACGGCATCGACAATCGGCCCAATTGTACTGTTGCACTGGAAGAAGCCAGAAACAATGGAATAAATGAATGTGCCGTGGCTTACCACTCGAAGGAGTCGCTGGCGTTCTTGTAGAACTGCTTCCAGAAGCTGGGATCCCTGAATGAAGCGCTGCTTTCCGGAACAACAGGCATGATGATGATGGCTCCCCTCGAACTTTGCGCCTCCTGCCTTACCGTGTGCAGTTACAGAAGCGCGTTTCTGCCCAGCCCATACATACAGTGGAAGTGCCACTCTCTTCTGGCTGTATTGATTCAAGGATGATGCGCTGAAAGATCTGGTAAGTCAAGACGAAAGGCGGCTTGGAGGAGGAGGAGTGACACCCGGACAGCACAGGCACTCTCATTTCGCTTTCTGGCAACAACGGAAACTAGGCTCAGGCTTGACGACCGGCAACGCGAGAACTGCTCCGAAGGAGCCCCGGATGTCCGGCATAACAGAACTGAATGGATCGAAAGCATTTCCGAGGAATAAAGCAAAGCCCAAACCAGCCATCCAAGCAACACACCAGGTACTCCCACACTCTCTCCCCCCATCGAAGCCCTACCCTGCCCTTCCCTCCCCCTCCGTCTCCTCACATGCTAACCACCCAAAACCGATCTAACAGCAGAAAGGGGCGGAGAGGAACGCCCCCGCGAGTTAGACCCCCCTCACCCCCTGAAGAGGTCCGCCGCTCAACATTCACCAATTATGCAGCGCAGCGCCAGACCGCTGTAATAGGCAGCAAAAAACTCATATTGTTGCGACTACGTGAGTGGGCGGTAAATGCGGCAATTACAAAAGCTCGGCTCGGCCAGTCTCATACACGATCTGCAAAAAATTTGTTTTGCCGACGT